ACCACTATGCCACCGGGGTGCCCCTGAACAGTTTTTTTAAACTTAAAAATATTTATATTAACTTGGTAATATTTTGATTTCAGTCTTTTCTCTGGGTATGTGTTCTTTGATTGGAATTCTGTATTGTCTGTCTTCCACAAACCACTCCTATAACGTATTGTCTACAAATTTCAGATTTTTTGAGAGTACAGTAAGATTTTAGACATTTAAGAAGTAATTTGTAGAATCCTACACCTTTTTCATGGTTTTTTGCTTTTTAGCCTTCAGTCATCTTATCTTCCTCTAATTTGACAGTTTTTATTGAGTCTTTCCAAAGCATTCCATCTAATATTTGTACAAACACCTTTTATATTAGATGTTTGTATTTTATTGGTTTATGTAATATTTAATTAAAATATGTAATGGCAGTACAACTGGTATAAATAGGTTGAAGAACATGATTGACCCTTGTTAGTTCTGCACACAAACCTGGGAGGAGAGTGCAAAAGTGTGAGAGTTTCCTAACAAGTGTGGTCTACCAGCTTCAAACATTCAGCTTGTGATGGGCATTGTTCAGTGTATTTTACTATGGGAATGGAGAGCATCACTCACACCAGTAAGTTGGTTAAACAGAAATCAGCTAAGAAAGCTTCTACTATACTTTGATGAGGTATTTTATGTGTAAGTGGCAATTATATTATAGAAACAATTGCTACTCTTTGAATGCTTAACTTAATGAGGAAGATATTGCTTCGTAAACAAATATAGAAATAGAAAAAAGTACTGTATCTATTGAGTGAATTCTCTTTTTTTTTTATGAGGAGATCAGCCCTGTGCTAACAACTGCCAGTCCTCCTCTTTTTGCTGAGGAAGACTGGCCCTGGGCTAACATCCGTGCCCATCTTCCTCCACTTTACATGGGACGCCACCACAGCATGGCTTGCCAAGCAGTGCGTCGGTGTGCGCCCGGGATCTGAACCTGTGAACCCCAGGCCACCGCAGCGGAACACGCGCGCTTAACTGCTTGTGCCACCGGGCTGGCCCTATTGAGTGAATTCTTGAATTATATTGGTAGGAGATTAGTAGGAAGACCAGTAGAGTAAATCAGGAATAGATTCCTAAAGGAAATAGAAATCTTGAATTGAAAAAAAGAAAAATAGTTTGGATAGAAGAAGATGTTCTACCTAATTCTGATGAGCCCATAGGAAGAATACTGAACCTTTGTTTAAATCTCATTTAGGAGAAAGTAGAGTGAGATTTTAAGAATGATAACTTCCCATTATAAACATGATAGAATGGTTTTAGGGATAGCATAAAATATTGTAGCCAGATATTTTCCTGGACTGGATTCCAAAAAGGCATTAACAAATCGGAGGCCTGGTACATATCATCAAACTATAGAAACAAAGGACAAAAGATGAAAGCTGTAAATAGGTATCACTGAGAATCCACTTGTTTAAAAATCTCTGGATTTAAATTAGGAAAGTAGTATAGTGGAAAATAGGTCACTAGAGATAAAAGAGGTAGTCAGTAATGAATAGGAATTTTCTTTAAAAAAAACCTTGTCAGTTATTTAATTTCTGGGAATCCTAAATAATAAATTTGAAAAAAGCTTTAGGTACAAAATTTATTCCAAAAAAAATTGGAAATGAACATATTTTCATCTTATAAGAATCATTAAATATGTACTTAGCCTAGTGTCAGGTACATAGTAAGTGTTTAATAAATGTTACATATTAAGTTTGGTTTCTAAAGAAGAAAGGGGCAAAGTCTACTGATATTAGTTTAGAGTGTCACTTTTAATTGAAATCAAAAGAGCATCTTTATGCTAAACCCTTCTCTCAACCTTGATTTCTTCAAAACACTGTGGTATTCTAGAATATTTTTCTGATATAAGGCTTTCAGTAATTAAGGGGCTCCTCAAGCTGTCAGCAGTGGATAAGTAAAATCTAAAAATGGTCAATCTAATATTGCCATGTAGATTGCAAAAAATCAAGCCTAAAGATGTAAATAAGTATTTTTTTGTATGGGTAGTATATGTATATGGCACAAAATTCAAAAGATACACAAAGATGTACATTGAAAAGGTTAATCTTTTGTCCATTCTTGCACCTCAGCTATCCAAACAGTTACTGTTACCAGTTTGTGGTGTTTCCTAGAAGTATTCCATGTATATACAAGTGTATGAGAATATAAGTATTCATTTTACACAAAGAGTAGCACACTTTACACATTATTCAACAATTTGCTTTTTTCATATTTTTGGAGCTTTTACCATACCAGTATATAGCACCACCTCATTCTTTTTAATGGGTGCATGTGTATGGATACATCCTAGTTTAACACGTCTCATATTGAGGACATTGTGGTTGTTTCTAGGCATTTGCCAGTACAGACTGATGCAGTTAATGTCTGATATAGTATTTCAGAAAATATGTGGGTTATAAATGTTGGGTTCTGGGACTAATGGTGCCTTATTTATTGATGTCTGTGCTCCATAAGGACTCTTTATTAATGAAGATTTCCTCCTTGCCCTTTACTATGAATTATGTTTATGGAGTGTCAAACTCAAATCCCTGGTGGATATAATGGAAATTAATAATAACATAGGAATTGCACAGTTTTGCCAAACAGGCTTCTCCTGGGATATGAAATGAGTATTTTGTATTATGTGGTTTTTCCTTAGTTTAGGGGAAGTAAGTGAATAGTTTCAATTTATTTCTTTCAAGAATCTATCCTTGAATAAGTAGAATAAGATGTATAGGAGTAATGGTGGGATATATATTGAGAGGGTTCTAGAGATTAAAAAAGATCTTCTAACCTTTCACTTCACTTGGCATTGTGGTCTTTGCTCAGTTTGACAAGTAAGAAAAATCCTTTGGGGAAAGCAGCCTCCAACTGAGCATTTTAATAGGGAGGAAGCTTAATTTTAAATTAGATTACTAGTTCAGAATGAGATTTAGGATTGTTGCTAGGAGCAGAGGATAATGGTAGGAACATTTACAAAGAACAGTTACAAATTGTTTTCACATACCTTACTTAATGATTCTCACAACAAGCCTGCTATTACTGCTGTTTGCATTTGACAGATGAGAAAACTGAGGCTTGAAAAGGTTAAATTACTAGATGCCCATGATCACTCAGCTGATGATTGACAGAGCCGGGACTCAAATCTGATTTTCTGATTTGACTGCCCTAAATATGAAGCTTTCTTAGTTCACTGTATCCAGTGTCCCTCCCCTCCTTTTTTGTATATAGAAACAAATCAGCAGTAATTAACTTCAAGAGTTATTACCATTATCAACACCATTTCAACCATATCAAGTTTCCTTTTCTTGAAATTTATAACAAAAAGTTTACTATTTCATCAGTTATCACTGAGTTTTGGTACTCCAGGAAGAGTACCATGGAATCAGAGCTTCAGCCCTCCTTTTTCTATCATCCCCAAATTGACTGCTTGGCACATTAATTTTTTTTTTTGTTTTGCTGCATAATATTTTAATATTTGGGCCAAGTTAGTGGTAAAGTGAGAAGGTTAAAAATTAAGTAAAGAAATATATAAGTTTTGGAGATTTTTTTTAGCCTAACAACAGTGTAGAAAAAGGTGTAAAAGTCACAAGTATTCCAGTAACTGACCAGGCTTTGGGACTGGGATCTCACACAAGATCCTAGGGCCTTAAAATTGAACAATGTGGGAGGAGGGGTAGGAACAGGATTGTATTTTTTTTTTTTTTTCAAATGTATATTATTATGGCACTAGGGAAACTTGAATATTAGGCAGCCAGTTGCCTGCTTTGGACTCTACCAGGGATCTGTTCAGTGTGAAATTCAGATAAAACAATTTTATGGTTTTAACCCCAAATCTTTCATTGAAGATATGCAATTTTCTCTTACTTTCTTTCCGGTTTTGGAATGGTCTACTTCATAACGACGCTTCCTCCGAGGTCCAAGATATTCTACTTTGCTGTGATTCTTCTATAATTTTAAAGGAATTATTTCTTCCTGACACTTAGGTGGAATACTGGGATTTATAAAATAATGGAGGGTTGGAAATAATGTTTGTTGTATGCCTACTCTATCAGGCTCTTTACATTTGGTTAACTCCTAATCCTAGGGACACCCTTTGAGTATTGTTATCCCCATTTTATAGATGAGAATAACTGAGGCTAGCTCTGTCACACTTAGGGAGTTAAGACACGCACCTACATAAATATAACATGAAACAAGATAAATGTTTATAGTGTCAAAGCCACGGTTAGGTGGTAAGAGTGGCTCTGTGAAGCAAAAACTAGCATTTGCAGGACAACAAGGCACACTACCATGTGCCTGCTTCTAAAAATGAACTTCCCAACGTGGCCACAGACTTGCGTCCCTAGGAGTGAAACCTTGTGTGTGCGAATCCACTAAAGATTCTTGTGTATGATGGGGGTACAAAGTGGACTTTCTTCGTGGACAGCGCATCTGCGCGCCCTGGGTGCTCTTCGTTTAAGGAAGTTGGCTGGGGGAGGGGGCTTGCCCTGCGGCTGCGTCCTGCTCCCAGCGCCCTCCCCCTCCCAGCCTCTGCTGCCGCTAAACCCCGGAGAGCGGAGCGTGCACGTTGAGATTCCTCGGCGGGCCTGGCAGCGGCTGCTGGGCATGCTCAGTGGGCAGGACCCGTTAGAGTGGCGAGTAAGGAAGCGTTGGCTCTTCTCCGGGTCTGCCTTTCCCCGGTTCAGGCCCCGGCCCTGGGCTTTTGTGTGCGCGGAGCCGCAGCCGCCGCTGCCTCCTCGCGGGGCCGCCCGACCCCAGATGCCGTCTGGCCTGTCCGGCTTCCGCCGTTAACCTCACCGCGCGGCCGGAGGAGGAGCGGGGCGGGGCGGG